AATAGGAATGGTAAACGAAACATTGTGACGAGGTCACCGCAAACATCAACACAGCTGGCCACAAAAAAACAATCCAGGCTACCATTCAAAAAACAAAAAAGGCCGGCTGACAATGTTAAGAAAGCTGATGTTGATCCGTCAAAGTTGATGTACAGATCGAACATTTCAAGACTGATTAGCACAGTGCTTGAATTAGATTTACGTGATGGACACATTAGACAGCTGCAGAAAACCCCGTTTTGGGTTATGATTGATGCTATTTGTGTTCACGAGCTTGATCCGAAAGCGTTCAAGAAATGTGATGCAACTGTCTGTCGAATTATTCAATGTTACAACCCGAAAGATGAGAAGTTCCACGTTGGTGGAGCAAAGTTACCATTGAGGAATAACTATATCAGGCTGATATTTGGGGTCTAGTGTGGGCAGGAGAAGTTGGATTTGGCTCAAGGTAGCAAATGGCCCTCCGATTTTATGCAATGATGTTGTCCGAATGTTAGCCGGATCTCTTCAAAAGTTATAAAGGATTTGCTGGCAGAAGCAATCTGTGGTCGTACAGAGCGTGACGAAGAAGACGTGGCGAAGTTGCTGTGTCTCTATGTTTGTGCGAAGTTATTTTTCGCAACCACCGGCGAGCATATTGGTTGGGCGTTTGTTCGTGTGATTGACAAGTTGGACACATTAAGACAGTATGACTGGACTGCAATAATAAGGAACACGTTGATTAGCTCACTAAATGAGATGTACCACAGGCCAGAGAAAGTGACTGGTTGTGTCGTAGCGTTGCTGGTATGTACAATACGGACGTGCCAAAATTGCATACATGATATAATAAAAATAAGATCAAAGTTTGTCATAGTCACATGTATATTTGATGGTGGTTTCATGCTTTGATTTCAGTTTCTAATTTGTGAACATTCGAACATAATCATACCAAAACGGCCTAATGTCACTCCGCGGTTTTGTTGATGGAACATTGGAGCAGCTGTGGCGAAACTGAAAGTACTAAATTTGACGGAAGAAGGTTCCATTGAGGTATGAAATAAAATAGTTTCCATGTTTTTAATTTGTTTGCCCAAATCAGACACTGAATTTTTTTTCCTTAAATGTTTTGTATCCCCAGGTGCAGTGCGCGAAACTTGTTGGGACAATTAGTGAGTGTCATATTCTAAAACTGGCTGCTGCTACAAATGAGACAAACGAATGTGGTACAAGTAGGATGGATGTGGATCGCGAGGGGAGTGGGGCTGCTGTTGGGACGGATGATGTGGGCAGCGTGGAGCCTAGTTTGAATTGTTGGCAGGTGGATACACCAAATACTGGTAACATCAAAATGAAAGGTGGAGACGATTATGAGAATAAAAATACTGGTACATCAACCAACAAAGTAAAAGTGGGTGGGAAGATAGTGGCAGGTGGAGAAGTGTGGCCAGTCTTGTTCCCGGATCTTCTAGAACTGTTCAGCACTCCAGATGGTGAAGCCGTGGGTGAAGAACAAGGGGGGGTGAACGATGAGTTGAGATCTTGTAATGTCAAAATTGCTGAGTTGGAGAGCCAAACACAAAGTAAAGACGCACGGGTGCGTAAACTGGAGCAGCGTGCCAAAATGATGGAGCAACTGCTAGGGATGCATGCTGGTAATTTGTTTGTAGACTTAAATAGTGTGATTGTGGAAAAGGATTCTGAAATTGATCGACTCAGTAAGGTGGTTAATCAATTGGAGTCAAAGATAAGCAATTTGCAGGATAGTCTTGATGATTTTGAGGTGCACGAGGTGACGCAATGTTGTTAATGATGGGTCAAATCAGCGAACACCGAGCAACAATCTTTCAGGTAAAGTGAGTGGTTTTGGCCACATCACGAGTGTAGAAAGTGCACAGCACTCTGCGTGTCCTGTAGGCCAACCCAAATACGTTGACACCAGCGAATTACAGATTGTTGAGAACGCTGCTAGGATTGAAGATTTAACGGCTGACTTTGCCCATGGGAATGTACATTCGACTGTGGCGCAGGCGGAGGGTAGTTGCAGTCCCCGAAATGAGCAGCTAGCGTCAGATGGAAATGTAAATGTTGGCACAGCTGTCGTTGGTGTGGGTACTGGTTGTGAACACACAAATGCTGAAACAATTTCTGGGCCGAAAATGACGTCGCTGGTCAAACGGGTGAAGACCAAACCAAGACGGGAATTTAGGCTGTCTGACTACAAATATCCTGCCATATTTGGGCGACAACAACTAAATGCAAACGTGAGACTAGGTAAATCGTTCGAGCCCGGGGTCATTTACAGTGTTGAGGACGTCGAAGTGGAGCGGAAAACCTGGCATGGTTTTGGTATGAACAGAAGGCACACTGTGTGGAACATGTTAAAGGATGAAGATAGACAACTATTGGAAAGAATGTACAGTTTAGAGGGGGACGGGTAGGTTATTTGTATGAAATGTTGTACTTTTTGACATTTAGAAGTTGTAAATGTTGTTATATGGTTGTTCTTAATTTTGGTTTATGATGTGTAGGTTAATAGTGTGGGACGGTGGACACAATGGAATACAAGTGCATTTCACAGATATCAAAGATCTGGTGTAGCAGAACTCCATTCATGGCAATGTAAGCTGGTGTCATATAATCTGCCCTTTATATAAATATTTATTTCCACAGGAAAAAACCCCACATGGACATGTAAACATTGTATCATTCATATCGTGGTTGATGTGCCTGTGACGAAATGACAAATGAATTTAATAACACACAATTACGTATATGTGAATACATGCACTCTCACCTGATGGTGCAAAAATGGTAGTAGCACATACTGGACATTCATTTACAAAATGTTATTAATAGTGCACTGTGATTGTAATGGGTAACATATGTGTGAAGGTAATTGATGCATACTGTCACGACCCAAACCCGGCCCTAGGGTTTACAACCGTAACCGGCCAGTAATCCGAGATTACCAAAGGCCTGCTTAACAGTAATACAGTAAAACAGAGTACAGGGCCTGGCGGAAGCCAAAACAGTAAATAAATAATGTCCACTGAGCTGTGACAGTCTATATGAAAAAGACTTTTCATACATTCATACATAAACGGTACAGAACAGTATGCACAATATTTACAATCATTCAGACTAGGGACTCAACCCTATAAAGCAGTACAGTAAACAGTCAGTCTATACAGAACAGTAAGACGGTGCAGAAGGGGAATTGTAAAACACCCCTAAGCCTTAACACGATAGGCTCGGAACCTCGCAGTGAGGCACATAAGCTGGCTTGACAAAAAGGGAGTAACTCTAACGCCTCTAGTCACGGTCTGGTGCCTGCACACCTACATATATATATGAGCAGTGAGCTAAAGCCCAGTGAATAACATAATGTGTAAAGAGGTTAAGAATGAATGTCCTTACAGTATGAAAACAGTTCATTTAAACAGTATTCAGTCATTCAGTCAGTACAGTCATATGTGGTACACCCATTAGCATAACAGTACAGTAAACAGTAGGTCTTAAAAGACCGAACAGTAATGATGGCCATCAGTCAGTAAACAGTAGCGGTTCCAACGAGGGAACCGACAGAGAATTCTGTCGCAGTAACAGTAAACAGTAGGTGCTAAGGATGCCACAATACAGTTCAGAATATAGGACATACATTCATTCAGTTAACAGTAAATCAGTTCAGAAAACAGTACAGTTCAGTTGTTCAGAAGATAATCAATATCTTTACACAATCGTTACTCACAGAGTTCGGGCTACAGTATGCTAGAGCGTCTCCTCAGTCGCCAACCCTACACAGTTAACAGATTGAACACACTAAGCCACACAATTG